GCTTCTGATGATGCTCAGTTCTTAGCTCCTGGGAAGACTCTCTTGGCCTCCTTCTTCCTGAGAAAAGGGCCCCAAGAAGCCCCCTCCTTGCCAAGGATCCTGGCTATGTGATGCAGTTGTAGGCTGATTCTTTCTCTCTGTGAGGTTATACGTGGCCAATCTCAGCAGGTGGTGCAATTCCGTTGGGATCTGTTTTTCACTCTGAGCAGGTGGTGCAACTGTGCTGGGATGTGGTCTTCCCTCGGAGCAGGACTTATATACCTCATGGACCTAGAAACTGCCTTCTCCTTTTCTCTCCCTGCAGCTGGTTGGGCTGGAAGCACAAGGAGGTTTCTTCCTGACACAGGAGCAGGTAAAGGGTTGGGGAGGGCAGGGGAGGGCATCACAATTGTCTTTGTAGTGCATGATCCTCAGGCTCATAATGGGAGGGGGGAGTTGAGAGGGACCTTGTTTACCAGTCTTGGGGTGAGTTCATGAGAAAGGGGAGTCTTCTCGCACGACCGTCTCTGGTCTACAGTCCCTCTGGCAGCTGCATGAGGTTCTCCTAGAACTCTTCCCTACGTAGGTGAGTGGGAAGGAGCGGAGATGTAATGAGACCATCCCAACCACGGGCAACGAGTCTCTCTCAGGATAAAGATCCACTGTCTGATGAAGGAGCTTTCATCCCCACAAATTTGCCATTCTTCCTCCTCCTCCTCCTCTGCTCCATCTGGTAACAGCTCTTAACATTAGAATTCTTCCCCCATCCCCAGCTGTAAGGTGGGTGGGCAATAGGGAGCAAAAGAGGATGCTCCTTGAAGTGTGCTGGACCCTTGGTCCCTCAGGAGCTTGAACCTGGAGAGCAAGGGGCCTTCACTTCCTTTCCAAGCCTTCTTGTGACGTGCGCCAGGGAGCAGTGAAGTCCAGTCCCACACAGGGCTCAGATCCTGGAAAGGAGAAATCACTGAGATCACGAGTTATTTGTCTGCCTCAGATGAGGAACCATCCAACCAATTCTAAGTAGAAAGGTAAAAATAGGTACACAGAAATAAATCTAATCCCTTACTTGATGTTGACCACCCCAAGTCATGATATCAAACTAGCTCAACTAGCTCAATCAACACTTTTGGGATCCTGATTCTATAGGATCGCATGGGTTGATTAGTTCAATTAGCCCAGGACTCCCAAAACAAGCAGGACCAACAGGAACATCAGGGACATCATCAACAAAACAAAGAAAGCTTTTCTGGGCTTTCTACTATTCAAGGGGGGGTGTCAAGAATTCATTTTTTGGGTGAACTTACGTTTTGCTCAGAGAATGTATCTGAAAGTCCTTCCTCCTCATCCCAGAACCTCCCTAGCGTGCCCTCCTATTCTTTTGTCAGTGGTGAAGGATTGGGTGGCACCAATAAGATCGGTCCATGCTTGGCCTCTTCTTGATGGATGAACAATGTGTGGAAATCCTTCTGTTTCCTTTCAGGATCTGAGAGCTGTCATGTGGTAGAGTTGAATGGTCCCACCACCGATCGGAGCATGTCATCCACAAATTGGACCACGCTCCACCCTTCCTCCTTTATTCTTCTTGGGATCCCAGGCCTGCAAGATTTTCATATCTGGATCTCCATCCCCTTCTGCTCCATCTACGTAATCGCCCTTTTGGGGAACTGCTTTCTTCTGGGGGTTATCAAGAGCGAGCCAAGCCTCCATGAGCCCATGTACTTGTTCCTCTGCATGGTGGCTGTTGCAGATCTCATTGTCTCCACCTCCACTGTACCCAAAATGCTCAGCATTTTCTGGTTTCAGGATAGGAGCATCCATCCTGATGCCTGTTTAGCCCAAATGTTCTTGATCCATTCCGTTTCCATCATGGAATCTGGATTCTTTGCCGCCATGGCCTTTGATCGCTATGTGGCAATATGCAACCCACTGAGGCACTCTGCCATCTTGACCACCCGTGTCATCGCTAAGGTGGCTTGGCAGTTTTGATCCGAGTGACTGTCCTCCTCTGCCCCCATCCCTTTCTCCTCAAGTGGCTCCCATTTTGCAGGGGCAATACCATCGCTCACACCTACTGTGAGTTCATGTCCCTAGTGAAACTGGCATGTGCTGACACTCGGCTTGCCAACGTTTTCAGCTTGATTGTGGCCTTTCTAACAGGTGGCCTGGATTTAATCTTCATCATGACATCCTACATCTTGATTCTCCAGGCAGTGTTCAGGCTTCCCTCCAAGGAGGCACGTATCAAATCTCTTGGCACTTGTGGGTCTCACTTCTGTGTGATCTTGATATTCTACACTCCAGCATTTTTCTCCTTTCTTACTCACCGATTTGGCCACAGGATTGCTCCCAGTGTCCACATCATCGTTGCCAACCTCTATATCCTGGTTCCACCCATGATGAATCCCATCATCTATGGTGCAAGGACAAAAAAGATCCGGGAAAGCGTCCTTCAGATCTTCTGGATCTCATTTTCAGGAAATGGAAAGTAATGTTTTGCCTGTCTTTT